GGAAAACATGGTTCGTCAATTTCTTCTCTATTTGCGATAATTGGCTGGTTCAGGTGAGAGGAGCAGCTTTAAAACTCGGGCAAATGCTTTCAATACAAGATCCTGAGACTGTTCCCGCCGGCCTGCTTGAAATTTTTGAGCGTGTTCGACATAGTGCTGACTTTATGCCTTTGAAACAGGTACCAAGCCTTCACATATCAAAATAAATAGTATCATTTCTCATCATCTGCAGTTTCAAATCTAATTAAGGTTGACAAACAGATGACTGCCTCCTTTGGATCGGACTGGAGGTCGCGATTCGCTTCTTTCGAAGAACGTCCTTTTGCAGCAGCCTCTATTGGACAGGTGAGGAATTTATAGAAGGAGATGATTACAAATGCAATACCTTGTCCCAAGTTTGTAAAACGCTTACTGTTTTTACAAGTACTGACCATGAGTGTTCAACAACAGTAAAGTATTAGGTCGCAGCAAAGAAAGTCCTTGTGGAATTTTTCAAAACTTGGCAAATGGCTACACATTAACCTGCAAATTTCTGAACCATATATAGGGAAAGTGATATTCCTTCATATTCTCGAGTCTCACCTCCTGCACGCTTTTTGAAGCCTGGAAAATGCCATATGTTTCGACCCATGTACGCCACTGCCTTCTTTGCGAATTTTGTCTGGGACACACAGCGAGCGAAGCCTGCCGCAATATATGCTCTGCGGGAGGAGGAGTGGCAGTTGAGAAGACCTGGCAACAGACATATGATGTCAGACAGTCAATTGGGAACGTTTGGAGCTACTACTTCAAGACACTCCGCATGCAAGCGCCAAGGAGTTGGCAAAGGAGATGCAGTGCTCCGACATGGCCGTAGGTCGTGCCCTCCACAAGCGAGGAAAACTCAATAAACATGGGGCCGTATGCTGAATGTTGGGTAGGGGCTGGGGTCCCCGACCCGCGATGCTGAATGTTGGGGCTCCCAGCAGAGTTTCGTCGCGGGACCTACAGGTGACTGGCCAGTCCTTTAATTCTGTGATTCTATTTTTGTCCTTTTCACTGTTCTAGATTACAGATTCGTCCACGTACACATTGCTATATTGATGTAATACACCAATATGGCAACGAAGTGAGTAGAAACGCGAACCAAACTTCGCTTAGTAATGGACAGACTGGCAGATACAGTTAGACGTAGCATCGAACGAACCCAGTATTTATGAAAGCAATTAAAGGTATAAAACTAATGCAGATTACAACTATCATAGGTACATGCAAGTGGACAATCTACAGTATAAACTGTTCTAAAAGGTCGAGATGTAATCGTAAAATCAGAGGATCAGTCAGTGGGTGACCGGTTCCTTTGATTGTATGATAACGTTCCCGCTACGAAACTGCCGGGAGCCCCAACATTCAGCATCGCGGGTCGGGGGACCCCATCCCCTCCCCAACATTCAGCTACGGTCCATAGTCGATGGATTCCGCATAAGCTGATAGAGCACTTCTAAGAAATGGCGTGTCGGAGGTGTGCAGAGGTTTTCTTGCAAGGAGCCGCCGTTTCGATTGGCTGGATAATGTCATCTGGAAGGAGATGAAAGGTGGGGGCTCTACGTAAATCATACCAGAAGAAGACAGTGAATGGGTGCGAACCAGAAGCCAGAGCCTGTTCCAAAGCAGGAGGTTCATCCCAAGGAAAGTTCCTCCTGTCAGTTTGGTGGAGTGTTCGGGGAACACATCATTACGAGATGCCAGACAATACCACCACCGTCGACGCTGAGGTGTACTGCTCACAACCACGAAGGCTCGCAGCTGAACTCACGAAACCGCCCCAAGTTGGACGAAGTCTTTTTTCATGACAGTGCCCGACGGCATGGTATTGGCGGAGCATTGGACTCCCGGTCTTACCCATCCTCCATATTCGCCAGATCTTCCCACCTACGGATTACCACCTGTTACTTCCCCGGCTCTCTTCATAAAGGATAAAAAGTACGACAACCGCCAGCAGTTGGAAGCGGACGGAGGCACTTCTTCGGCTTGAAGCCTGTCGGATTCTGGAATTTTGGGCATTTATTCCCTTGTGGACCGGGTCATATCCGCATTACTTTTAGTGTGACCTAATACTTCACTTCTTGCGCTCCGCAGCGGTCAATTTGTGAGCTGCTCCCGCCTTGGCGGAGAAGGAGAATTCTAAAGTCCGGCGGTCAAGCATCTAGTTGTTTATGTATACTTCGTGAATGAAGATGATAACCCTACCAATGTCGGAAAAAAGTGATTTAGCCGAAACATTGCCAAGAAAAACTTGAAAATTATTTTGTTCGGCTAAGCAGGAAATTAGATTATCATTCATTCAATATGAATGGAACGGGTAGAGAGTCGCCATTGGGGCATAGGCGGTGCCTGACTATTTTCTGTGTACAGGGGTGGCCAGAAAAAAAAGACACTTAGTCCATGGCGCACATCATCAAACTTTTCGGTTTCGTCGCACACGGAGCCGATGTTAATAAAAGTTTACGGCGGAATATTCCTTAGGTGTTCCCCGTAAACAGAAGCAGACCCTCCTTCACTTCCCCCGCCGTCTTCAGAATATGACGTCATCTGCCGTCACCGTCGAGCTCCAACGAGGCTTACCGTAATCGCTCCGGCCTGAGACCGTTGAAGACTGCCCTAATAATGTTCTTCAGTGGATGCTGTCAAATAGTCACCTCAGGGACATTTAGTGTGAATATGCAAAACCGTTTTGACCAGCGTTTCAGAGGGACGTCGTAATCGTCTATACTATCACAACGACTCGTTGAGCTCGTACCATGCACAATGCTTCCGTGTAGAAAATGTTCTGATGTCGTCGGTGTAGAAGGCTGTTGTGTAGCTTGTTGATAGATTATAACGTGCTCTTAATATTCAGTTGGGGTCATTTGATTTGGTCTCGCAACGCGTAAATAATTCCGTTTTGAATGTGAAGTGAAGTGTCTCTTTTTTTGGCCACTCCTGTATATGTGTGCGTGGTGATGGGTGGGGTTGGGCTGAGTAGGCGAGGCGAGCAAAAAACTCTGCATCTTGCTAATTCGAGTTGGGATTCCTTGTGAGAAACATGTTTCTTAATGGTCGCGTGACGCGCGTGGTGTCGTCCGCAGCTAAAATAGGCTCTATATTAATGCCGACATTGGTGGAGCTCGTGAGTTTTTCAGGTACACAAGGCTGTTTTATTCGATGGGCGCAACGTTGCTGTGAAAATTCAATATCCGGGAGTTGCGGAAGGTTAATCATTTCTTTGCGTTGCTTCCTTGCCGAGATTTACTGAATTGTTTTTCAGGGATCGACTCTGATATCGACAATCTTGTGTCCATACTTTCTTTCGGCCAACTTTTCCCTAAAGGATTGTTTTTGGAGAATTTTGTGGAGGTACATGGAGTTTTTGGATCCATCTTTTTGGATGCCTTACTGTTTGTTCAAGGTAGCACGCAAGGAACTCGCCGATGAGTGCAGGTATTTGAGAGAGGCACGTGCTATGAAAAAATTCCGTGAGTTGCTTGCTGACTCAAACGACTTCTACATTCCCGAAGTTGGTTTAGTTTTCTTTTCAATCTTCAACAGTACTCTTTCGTTATTAGCGTACTTTCATTAAAGGTGGTGGATTCGCTTACCACAGATCGAGTTCTCACTGCAGAATATATCGTAGGAAAACCTGTTGATCAATGCGTGAACGAACCACAAATTGTTCGCGATTACATTGCTGCAAAGTTCATCGAACTTTGCCTTCATGAGGTGCGTTTGTGACGAGCTTACTTTTAAAGGCTCATTTCTGACGTTGTTTTCATTTGTCTGGACACCACTGATGTATCCTTACTTCTTTTCTTCAGATTTTCATTTGGAGATTCATGCAGACGGATCCAAATTGGTCAAATTTTTTCTTGGGAGTTCATCCAGTGACAGGTTAGCGTTCATCGTCTAGTCTTGAAGGCGGAGCTCACCATTAGAATGCGGCCCATTAGAATCAAGGTGGAGGTAGTCGGTGTGTAGGATGAAACGGCCGAACGACGGTTTCGTCCTACATACCGATCACCTCCACCTTGATTATATTCGGTTCTTAGAAACGGCCCACAACTTGAAAAGTAGGATCTACTCTAACCGCTGATTTCCATGCTGATGCAACTCTCATTGGTGCTATCCTCTTCAACGCTAAAGCTGTCTTCTTATTAGCTGGAGACCCCGGCTAGTGGTTATCCAGTCGGTGGGCGTGCGGCGCCATAGCGCTATGGGAGGGCCG